GCACGGCTTAGCCTTGCAGCCACAATATTTACAGCTTGATGTCGCAGCATATCTTGCTGCGTTACAGACAATGGCTTCACATAATGCATTTTTGGTAAAAGCGGTCTAGAGTAGAGAAACATCATGTTGACCATTGATGCACATGAAAATCGTATGGCGAGATGCAATTCTCCCATCTTCTTCACACCCGAGGGGTGAAGGATGAGCAATGGATAAGAATGCGTGTATACTCGACCAGTTTCAAGTGTTGAGACCCGAATACGAACCTTCCCAATTTTCATGTCTATTTTGCCATTTGAACCTTTTTCTTCAAGCTGTCCATTGTCAAACACCCCAACTGTCAGAACAGTTGCTGGGTCATAGACTTCCCAAGTGTATTGCTCATTAAACTTCGGATTTAAGCTGTCGATAACCGTCCTGGTCCGCACCCACTTATGACCATACTTCGCCACACAATATGTATCTGTTGTACCCCTTCCATCTCTTGTTTTTGATGGGTGTAGTCCATCAACATTCAGGATACCTAATTCCAAGATACCAATTGATGGCTTCCACAGCTGCTTTGCCGTAGGTCGAAGATCACTACTATAATGAGTTGACTCATCAAGTACATGGTATCCTCCATCAAGTGTTACACGAAGATGGATCCTACTGGAAAACTTTTCTTTCTTCTTTGGCTCTTCAATCTCAGCTGAACCTGGTTCTTGGAGGTTGTACCATCTTGATCGAACAAATCGATCATCTGCACGCTTTTCAACAGTGGTTAATGGTATAATGACCACTCCCAGGGCCTCATCTTTGTTGGAAGCAACACGATCTTCAACTGAAAGTATCAGATGTTCTTCAAATGGCTCAGCAGCAACGAACATCAGATCCTCATTCCACATAGCATTCATAGTTTGAGATCTAATTGGCTTAGTCCTCAGAAACTGGATACCAATCCGAGCCTTCACAAAGACATCAGGAATACGATTTTTCTCTGACACAACTAAGTCTTGTGCTTCAATAACATTGACACGAACATACCACAGCCTAGGAGAATGGTACACTTTTCCGCGGATTTGGGTGGACGGCACTGACATATCTATTGGACTAGCTACATCTGTATGGAAAGCATCGGGAAATGCTTCGTCAGCTTGTGTACCAATCCACACAGCAAGCATCAGTTCCCCCTTCTTTTTCTCCCCTTTCTTGTTTTCCAGGCGATACCACTCTGGAGCCAATGGACTATCTGGAGCAACTCGGGTTGGAACTTCATGCAGATCAACTCGAACAATCCCAACAAAGTCATCTTTCAACATATCCTTATCCTTGACCACAACATCCAAAACAGAAGACTGCATTCTTTCTTTAGAAAAAGCAAATACTGTATTCCATTCTGGACTTTGATTTTTCTCGAAGTGTTGTGTGACTCCTTTGTAGTTCCCAACTCTTACTTCAACATAAGGGTCAAGACTTCCTGTGATATCTTTAGAAGGCAAATCTTGTGCTTTCACAACTCTTACAAACAGGAATTGCATAGGCTCAACAAGGTCATATGTGCTGGATTTTCTGCCACCTCGAACAACTCGACCCCCTACTATACGCCCTCCTCCAAGGACAGGGCTTGTCTCTTTCAATGAATATTCAGCTGGCTGTGAAGATGAACCTGAGTACATCCGCACTACTTTCGGCCCCTGAGAGGTAGATTTCATCTGATCAGGCCCAAATCTTATCGGTTGACTGGATTCTGCAAAGGAAGAATAAGGCTCTTGTTGCTGTTGCTTCACGTTTGGCAGGTGGTGGAATGTGCGTCTAGTCCCTTTTTTACCATTAGCGACTGGTTCAGAGATGAAATCCGGAACTCGTTGTGTAGGTTCATCATTTAGGCTTGAAAGGGAACCAATATGTGATGAAGAATCTGTTGCAGGAAATGAGTTTGATACCCTAACAGATGGATCATCAGTTATAAATACTTTCAGGCCAAGCTCTCCCCTAGTACGCGAGAAAACACCTGCCTTTTCCAAAGGGTAATGCAAAACAACAGCATCAGAGTATGGAACAAAGGATGATCCATTGATCTTGACCTTCCCAAGAGATGATTTAGATTGGCTTGATTTGTTATTGTTGAAAACAAGAGCTTCAAGTGTGAGGCTGGACAAGTCATTAGGATCAGAAACGTTGAAATAGAAAGTTTCATTCCAAGCAGGGTCCAAATCTTTTTCTTTGATTGTGGTGCGGAATTTTTGGCCATCAAAGTGAAGCTCTACAAAGGGACTAGATGAACCTTGGCCATCTTTAGACAAAAGATTGTGGGCACCAACAACTTCAACCCCAAGCTTGAGGTTACTCATGGCGTATGATCGGTATAGTTCTGACTCAATTCAATAGGGCAGATTCAGCAAATCCGGTCAAGCAGGTGAAAACTGCAAAACAACATTAATGTCATCATAAAGGAATATTCTCACAGCGGAACACTACAAATCCAACTTCGAAAATCTACTACATAAAGTCTGCCATTCAGTCGCAAAATGAAGATGCAAATGGAGCATAGCCCAAATCAGTAATGCTTTTTCTTAGAAGAAAACACCTGACATTACTTTTAGGCACTCATATCAGAGAAAACAACCGGGAAAATCCACAACATTTTTAAAAAGCTTCATTTTTACCAAATAACATGAATAGACAAAGATAAACCTCTGTGAATGACATAGTCTTCTTGAGGACATTAGACCAACCAACGGAACATGAGAGAGAAGGAGAGAGAGAGAGAGAGAAAAAACACTCTTTATCGCGAATCAATTCAAGATTCCACCCACCAGGATGTATCAATCAAGGAAAACTACTTAAGAGACATTATGCTCAATTCAAAAGAAAAGTAACTACTTCAGGGCAGTGTCAAAAGTGAGAATTTTTGTTAACCATTAAATTCTGTAGAAATAATACATCTAAAAAAACAGTAATAGTACAATTGTTCGTAGAAACAAGAGACTATTGGCATCTTGACAACAGGAAAAGCCTTCAAGCTTTACCTGTAATCAGACACATGTGTAAAAACACAACAAGCTAAAAGAAGTCAAGAAGTTCACCTTTTTATAATTTTATCTTTTATATACGTTCAAAAGTAATATAGACAAAAAGGCGTTAACAGTCAAAGCAAGAAAATCAACCATCTTTGAA